CCCTTCCTCCCTCCACTCCTCTAAAAAAAACAAAATCAATGGAAAAATATTCTTGGGCAAGGATTAACAAAAAAATCCCATATAATAAAAGGCTAATAAGCAAATCGACTGAATGGCAGAACGACCGGTCGCTATGATGCGTACTGACCACCAGGGGGCAGATGCTCAACGCAGGAGCTGCCCCCTGGTGGTCAGTGCGCTCAACCAGAAGCTGGGTTCACAGCTGGCGAGTGCAGCAGCAGTGGCAGGAGCCTCTCCCACCTCTGCTGCAGCGCTAAGGATGTCTGACTGACAGCTTAGGCCTGCTCCCCGCATCAGTCAGACATCCCCCGAGGGCTCCCAGACTGCAAGAGGGCACAGGCTAGGCTGAGGGACCCCCTTCCAAGTGCATGAATTTCGTGCACCAGGCCTCTAGTAAATAAACAAACTCAGGTTCCCAACATCCATCTATAATAATAAAAGTGTAACATGCAAATCGACCTAATGGCCGAACATCAGAACAACCGTCTGGACGATCTTCCAGACGACCATGCTATGACACCTACTGGCACCAGACCAGCCAAGGCAGGTGTAATGCAATTGGTTGGGGGCCCAGCCATTGCCCTATGATTACTGTGCAGAGGGAGGCCCAGGCCACCAGCCAGCAGGGCAATCAATCGGGGGCTCTACGATTGCCCCAAAGAGGGAGGCCCAGGCCACCAACTGGGGGCTGCAGTGGATGGGCGGGGCCTACCTCTTTGGGCAATTGATCACGGGCCTCCTGGACTGAGAGGGCACAGGCCACACTGAGGGACCCCCTCCTCCCACCCCAAGTGCATGAATTTCATACACCGGGCCTCTAGTATTAAATAATTTAACATGACAGACACAACTTGAAGACCCCTGTACATCTTTCTGCAACCTCACTCCCCATCCCCTCCCTAGAGGTAACACCATTCTGAATTTGATGTTATCAGATATCCATTTTTGTTCATCTGTTTGTTTTTTGCTGTTATTTACTTAAACAACAGAAATTTATTTCTCACAGTTCCAGAAACTATAAGTCAGAGCTCAGGATGCCAGTATGCTCGGGTTTCAGTGAGGGCTCTCTTTCTGGCTTGCAGGCAGCCTCCTTCTTGCTTTGTTTTCACATGACAGAGAGCCAGACATGCATGTTTTTATTCCCATGCATTTAAAAAAAATCTTTTAGCTCAAGACAGTTTTTCTCAGTGGGTAGAGCATTGGCTTGTGGACTGAAGGATCCCAGGTTTGATTCTGATCAAGGGCACATGCCTGGATTGTGGGCTCCATCCCCAGTAGGGGGCATGCAGGAGGCAGCCCATCTATGATTCTCTCTCATCATTGATGTTTCGATCTCTCTCTTCCTCTCTGAAGTCAGTAAAAATATTTTTTAAAAATCTTTTATAACTTCCTTATCTATCAATAGACAGCATATTGTTTTGCATGTTTTATTCTTTATATAAATAATGTTCATCTATACAGTATAGTTCTTAGACCCAGGCAAGTCGGGTCTTGGACCCTGAGTTTTAGAGGGGTCTCCTCCTGGCCCTTCTCTGTCTGTGCCCTCATGGGACAAGGACTCCAAGGGAACATGCACACATGGAGTCTGTGAGCCTCTTGTAGACCACAGGCAGGTTACTCTGGACCCCAGAACTCCAGGCCCAAACAGCCTCCAGCGCTATGCAGTGCCTAAGCGGGACTTTCTCCAGGGTGCACCCTCCTGAGGGTGAGCCATCTACCTAAGTGTGCACCCTAGGCCAAGGGGTGACCTTTTGGGGAGAGGTAGGGTGGGGAGTAAGTGGAGCTGAACCTTCGCTGGAGTGCCCGCACACAAAAGGAAGCATGAGGGTGCGATTCAGATGGGAAAAGGCAGCCATTTGTATTTTTGCCTTGGACTCTCCTCCCTCCTCTCCTATAAGCACATTAAATTCTATGCATTTTGACAACTTGCTTTTCCCCTCAACATTACATTTTTGAGCATTATCTATGGTAATATCTATAGCTCCAGTTTGATCATTTTCTCTCCCTTACAGCATGCCCTCAAAGTTTTAAGTTTCAGATCCCTGATGCCTCACTCAGAAGATTCTGATGTGGGAGGAGGGGCCAGGTGGGCTGAAGCGTCTGCATCTTTTGGAAACTGCACGATGCAGCTTGGCAGCTCGTTTTAAGAACCACGGGGGATAAACCCCTCTTGGAGTGCCCCTGGCTTTGCACAGGCCAACCCTGTCACTTTCTGCTATCCCTCCTTGTGTCTCCAAGGTCTGTCTGGACTGGCTCTACGCAGGCCACCAGCCCAGCAGCCTGGTTCAGGTCTGGGAGAGCTGGCGAAGGCAGCGGGCGCCCCCTGCTGGATACAAACGCAAGCTGAGCAGATTGTCCCTCCTCCCTGGATCTCTGGCCACAAGCACCCAGCCTTTCCCCCAGCCTTTAGTAGCACTTGGACGCAAATTGCCATCTATTCTGCTCTCAGAAAGTGTTCTCACATAACAGACTCTCTATGGAATCTTTATTAGGGATAAAAGAGTGTGTGGTTGAGAAACTGCCCGGCTCAAATCCTAGTTTATTCTCTGATCATTGTGTGACCTCAGGCAAATCAGTGGACTGCTGAATAACTCAGTTCCTCATGAATAAAATGGGGCAGTAATGTTACCTACCTCATAGGCCTGCTTTGAAGATTAGCATTTAAAGGGGTGCCTGCAGCTCTAGTTGCTATCAGATGCCAGTCCCAAGGCTAATGACTTCTCACAGTGACCCAGAGCTTACTGGTCCAGGAACTGCTCTGTGCTCTTTCTGTTGACTGCCTATATCATTTGATCATCACAACTCATGATGTGAGTGTGCTTATGTTCACCCCCATTTTACAAAGGAGGAAACTGAGGCACAGAGAGATCAATCAAAGGCTCACAGCTCACAGCCTGTCACAACCATGATTTGAACCCAGGCAATTACACTCCAGAGCCCATGCTTTTTTGTTTTTTAATCAATTTTAGAGAGGAAGGAAGGAGGAATGAGAGAAAGACAGACAGACAGACATTGATTAGTTGCCTCCTGTATACACCAGGGATCAACTGGGATTGAAACTGAAACAGCCCAGCAGGTGTGGCTCAGTGGTTGAATGTCAACCCATGAACCAGGAGGTCACCAGTTAGATTCTAGGTCAGGGCACATGCCTGGGTTTGGGGCTCGATCCCCAGTAGGGGGCATGCAGGAGACAGCCAATCAATGATTCTCTCTCATCATTGATGTTTCTATCTCTCCCTCTCCCTTCCTCTCTGAAATCAGTAAAAATCTATTTTTTAAAAAGCCTAGGTATGTGCCCTGACCAGGAATCAAACCTGAGAACCTTCAGGGCACAGGACGATGCTCCAACCAACCGAGCCACACTGGCCAGAGCCTATGCTTTTAGTTATTTAGTTATTTAGGTAGTTAATCCTCACCCAAGGATATTTTTCCTTTTTTTTTTTAGGGAGAGTAGAAGAGAGAGGGAAAGACCGAGAGAAACATCAATGTGAGAGAAACACACTGATTGCTTGTCTCCTGCACCAGCCCCCAGGGCCCAGGCCAGGGAGGAGCCAGCAACCAAGGTACGTGCCTGTGACCGGAATTGAACCCGGGACTTTTTGGTCCGAAGGCAGACACTCTACTGAGCCAAACCGGCTAGAGCAGAGCCCATGCTTTCAATCACTGCATTCTCATGGCAATTTGGGGCATGTACTCTGCCTGTTACACAGCTGGGAACACTGAGGCTCAGGGAGGTGAAGCGACTTGCCTCAGATCATACATCTAATTAGTATTGGAGCCCTGGCCCAGACTTGCCCCAGTTCTGTCTCCTTGCATTATCTGATGTAATTCCATGGCAACCCAGCAGGCATGGTGACCCTGTGACAAGTTAGGGCATTGATCTGAGATGGTTGAATGACTTGCTCAAGGTCACAGAGCCAGTTAGTAGGGAGCTTTTCCTGTTGGGAGTAGAGCCCAAGGACATTCTGTTCAGGGCCCAGCACCTCTGCAGCTCCCTGCTGCAGCCCCTGGCCATCTCTTATCTTTATGATCACAGCTCCTGTTCCTAGGAATGTGAGTTTAGCACCACTTGCTTCCAGGCCAGTCTCAGCACAGCTGTCAAAGTTGTGTTCTCAAGCTGTCACTCATCTGAAACCGGGCCTCAGCATTGGCTCCTGGAGCTTTCTGTATGACATGGAAGTCAGATTCCATTCCCCTGCCCTCAGTAGGAGGCAGCTGGTATCTTGGAAGGAGCAAGATGTTGGAGCCAGACAATTCAAGGTTGAAATCCAGCTGGACAAACATCCTCACCTCCTTGAACTCCCATTTCATCACTTCTAATATGGGGAAAATGATCTGTACTTTGCAGGCTCCTGTGAGAATAAAATGCAATAAAGTATATACAGCATCTGGTACACAGTGGGTGCTGAGTAAATGTTAGCTCCCTTTGCTAGTTCTGTGCTGCAGACTCTCATCTGCTGTGCATGCCCCCTCCTCACAGGCCCAGAAGTCACCACCGTCCCCTCCAAGATGGTCCCTTGAGCTGTATGAGAGGTCTCTGAGCCAGAGTTGGGTGAGTGTAGAACACACATCCTCTGTTGTGCCTGGGGCAGAGGGAAAGGGTAGACAAGCCCTGGGCTCACAGGCAGAATAACAGTATCATATATAACTCCTTGGTCAATGGCTGGAGACTAACTGAGCACCTACTATGTACCAGTAACTGTTCTTGGTAATAGCCTTCAGTATTAAATAAGACAAGACCCTGTTTCATACACAGCAGGTCCTTGAATAGTCACTTCATTCAACTTCATTTCGTTATAGGAACTTAATTTAACTATTGTTTGTATCAATTAGCCGATGCTAATTATAGCTCATTTTGTTTCACTGTACCTCATTTTGAGGGCGGGGGTGGCTTCAGCAGCGACAGTGTTTCCTCTGTGGTTTTAGCTCCTGGGTGGCCCCAGTTCTTGGTCTTGGAAATGCCATCTCCTCCCTTTATAGATCAGACACAGGGAAGGTTGTGGCTTCCTGAGTTACTAATCTCAAATTTGCCTCAACTTCTCCTGGTTGTTCTTTCTCCCCACCAACTTTGTAACTAAGTCTCCATATTAGATTCCCTCTTCCCAGAATCGTCTGGCATAGTCTTATTTTCCTAGCTAGATCCCTGCTATTGCGTTTCTGTTTCCTTGTCTATAGAGTGGGGGTTCATTCATTTAACGAGTAAGTATCTAGTAGCTTACTTGTGACTATAAACTGTGTTAAGTGGGAATATAGGAAACAATACAGATTAAAAGACACGAAAATCCAGGCGCTGCTTACTCTCATGCCTCTGTAACGCTCAGATGAGATGTTTACATAAATGTCACCTGCTGTTTGTGTCTCAGGAATTGCCATCACAAGCAAACACTATTTGGACTATAGACTGTTTTCTGAATCCAACTGTTCTTGTCCTAGGGTCTTTTGCCACCACCCCCTATCCCCTCCAATACTGAAAGAGAAAGATTTAGAACAGATTAAAGGAAGCTTTAATTTACACCATGGGGAGTCAACTTATGCGGCTCATTATCCCAAGTGGTGGTACAGTTTTAAGCACAGGTTTAGCTAAACTCATAGATGGCAGTGGCAGGGTGAGAGAAGGTAGAGATGAATCCCAGAGCAGCCACCTGCTGACTGCCTGCTCTCCGCTCTGCTACCCTCCTGTGGCATCTAGCACAAAGGCAGAAGCACGGGACTGGGAGTCAGGGCACCAGGGTTTGAACCCCAGATCTGCTGGCCAGCAAATGCATGACCTCAGACAAGCCATTTCATTTCTCTTGAGCTTCTGTTTCTTTGTCTGTAACATGGGAATCCTGAGAAGACCTAGGAGGATCTCTACTTGTTGTGATGATTAGTTTAGAAATGCATGTAAAGCACCTACTGCAGTACCTGGTACTTGGTAAGAGCACAATAAACATTTGCTTGTGTGATGACTATCTGCTGCAGGCGATCGGGCTGGAATCGCAGTCCTTGCTTTACACTAGGAAACTTGTGGTGGGATTTTGAGCCACTCAGCTGTTCTCTCTGGGCTTCAGTTTCCCCACCTGCAAAAAGGAAAAATAGTAACCATTCTGCCTGATTCAGGAAAGTATCATCTAAGACCCAGGTATAATTACTACTACATGAGCAATGATACCGGGTTCTAAGCATGGAGTTTGGAGCCAGACTGCTGGCTTTCAATCCCAGCTCCACCCCTTACTTATAGATAAAATGCTTAGAAAATGACTAGGTACAGAGTATTTTTTAAAAATATATTTTTGTTGATTTCTGAGAGGAAGGAGGATAGAAACACCAGTAATGAGAATCATAGATTGGCTGCCTCCTGCACACCCCACACTAGGAATCGAGCCTGCAACCGGGCATGTGTTCTGACCGGGAATCAGACTGTGACCTCCTGACTCATAGGTCGACATTCAACCACTGAGCCACACTGGCTGGGCCCCCCGCTTCCTTTAGATAATATGGTACAACAAAGCACTTGTACAGGGTGTTTTCCCCTCTTGGCTCCTCTCCTCAGCATTTTTCTCAAAAGGTATACTTTAATGTCCTTCTGACCTAGAGGCCCTTCCCTGCTTCTAGAAGTCTTCCTATCAAAACTGAGGCCAGAACTACAAACTGCATGTTCTGCTGGGAAGAACCCTGGATTAGCAGCCAGAAGACCAGGGCTGGCTTGCTTGTCTTTGTGATGGAGGCATTCTGATATGCTGTTTCCAAGGAGCCATGACCTTGGACCATGAGCTTTCCCTCTCTGGACCTTGGGCTCTTCTGTTCCATGATGAGGCTTTTACCTTCTGTATGATAACGTTCTGCAATCTTATGATTTGCTGGCAAAGGCCAAGGTCAGGGTTGAGCCTTAGACTAGGGATAGGAATGGGTACTGAGGGACTACTACTGAGTACCATGACATCTTTGAGGCAGGACACATCCTATCAGCATGAGGTGGGAGTGGGTTGGAGGGGCTCTATAGAAATGAGGAATCAGGTTGATGTTGGAAAACTACCAGTTGAGTGCAAGACCAACCTGTCATTATGCCACTGTTGACCCAACTCTCCAGGGCTCCTCTGGGGGCCTGGTCCTGCCAGATGGGAGGAGGAGGAGAAGAGGGAGCCAAGTCCATCCAGAGGCCTCATGCTCTATTCACCCTGCCAAAACCTGCTCCTACAAAAGGACCAGGGAACCCCCCTCATGCTCAGGTGCATACAAATTACAACAGCTCAAAACACCCTTTATCTTTTTAAATAGATTTTCTTTAAAGAAATTTTTAAGATTCCCCCCCCCCCCCAAAAAATTGTATTTTTCAAATGAGGAATATACGTTGTGCAACAAAGAGACTTAGGGATAAACCAGGGCACCGGGCTCCTTTGCAAAATGCTAAAAAGTCTTAAACAGAGGGTAGGGCCAAAGAGGGCATTTCAGGCATCAGGAGGAGGTGCACACCTTTCTGAAGGGCTGCAAACGTATATCTACACCATCTACACTGAGCAGAGGAGGGCTGTGGACCATGTCCTGACCTCCAACTTGATTAGTGTAACATAGACAGCAGGCGACCCCACCCCCCGCCCCCCTTAGCCACGCAGGATAGTTCCAAGACTCCTCCCAGTGGCTGCCTGAAACCCTGGACATAGGTCATGTAAATTACCTACACATACACACCTATGATAAAGGTAATTTAGTGTATAAATTAGGCAAGTAAGATCTTAACAACAATAAATAATAAGATGGAAACAATTATGACAATATATTGCAATAAAAGCTATGGGACATGGCCTCCCTCTCTGATAACTGATCTGATCATTGGGAGGGCCACTGAGTGACTAAAAGGGAGGTGTCATAGATACAGGGTGGATGCTCAGCACAGGAATGACCCCCATCCCGGGAAGGAACTGGATGGTACAAGATTCTCTCACACTCCTCAGAACAGCGTGCAATTTAAAGCTTGTGAGCTGCTGATTTCTGGAATTTTCCATTTAATATTTTCAGACCACAGTTAACCCTGGGTAACTGAAACCTTGGAAAGCAAGACACTGGGGAAGGAGGGGGGACTACTGCATTATGCAAAGCTCACTAAGGGCCAAGTACGGAATCCTCTCCATTTCCCCAACTCGTTGGGACTTGCCTCCCAAATCCTTTTACTTGAAGTGACCTTGGACCAGCCACATCCCATCCCAGGACCTCAGTGCCCCCATCTGCACAACAGGAATTACAAGTTCCCCATCTGCCAAGACCCATCAAACCTAATCGAGAAGGATGCGATTACTAGTTCGGTGAGAGTATTCAGTAACCGGCAAGAGCCAGGAAAAATGACTGCTAACACTTATTTCTCCACCTCCAAGTCAAAACCTCCCGGTCGCTGCAAGCTTTTCTGAGCGGTTCCGGGAAAGGCGTGGTCAGCCACTGGGAGCCACGCCCCCGGGCAGCAGGGCGGCCTTCGCCGCGCCCAACTCTGCGGCCCAAGGTAGGAACCCAGCAGTGGGACGTATCGCTCCCTTTGTAACCCTCCACCAAGAGAGGAAGTAGTCCCCCGACCCGTAGCGGGCTCCGTCACCCATACTAGGCCACAAATAAACCCTAGCCCCTCTCCAGACTCAACTATGACTTTGTGGCCTCAGGGACACCTTCCGGCACACTGGAAACCGGTCTTTCCCCAGGTCGCCGTAGGAAGTAGTTCCGGCTCAAGCTAGGCCGATGGGTCCCTCCGCAGCAGGCAAAATAAGATGGCGACCTCGTCGATGCCGGAGTCGGAGAGAAACGCGGCCACGGAAGTGTCAGGTGAGCGTCGGGTAGAGTCAGGCCACCCCACTGCACCCTGCCGTGAAGTGGGCCCACACTGCGGGAATACCCGGCGGCAAGGTCCCGGCCGGCGGGGCTGTCCGAACAGGGCCCTGGGGTCCCAGGCCCTTTGGTCGCTCTCGCAGTTGCCTGAGCGGAAACCTGGCGCCGCCACAAGATGGCGTCGGGCCTGGAGCGCAGGCAGCGCCGGGGACAGCCCCGAGTCGCCAGGCCCCGGGACCGTAGCTGTCAGCCCCCTCCGCAAGGAAGTAGGGGAAGGGGGAGCGAGCCACTGACCAAGGGGGCCTGCGGGCTGTACCACCGACCCTGCACCCGGGGGAACTCGGAATGCCGAAGGGCGGAACCACTGAGCCCTGACGGGACCCTTAGAGCGACCCACACCGAGAGAATCGTGGAGGGGAGAAGAGAAGGGTTATCCCGCCATTGACCACCCTCCCGGGGATGGGGAAGGGCCCTGAGCTGGGAAGCAAGGCTTCTCGGTCCCGTTTTCCCGAAGCTTCCCTCTCTACACACGAGAAAGACCCGCCCGGTCGTAGACTCAGTCTGTTCGTCAGCGCAATGGGCGCACGGGGGCCGCTGGGTGGGCCGTGGTTGCCGGCGGCAGTGACGGGGCCCACCTGTCACCTCTTCTCTCAGAGTGAAGGCCCCGGACCTCGCGCACCCTGGTCGGGCGGCCCCCCGAGCCCATGGAGGAAAACGAGGTGGAGAGCAGTAGTGACGCGGGCCCGGGGCCCGGCCGGCCCGAGGAGCCCTCTGAGAGCGGCTTGGGTGTGGGCACCTCGGAAGCCGTGTCCGCCGACAGCAGCGACGCCGCGGCAGCCCCGGGGCCGGCGGAGGCCGACGACTCGGAAGTGGGGCAGAGCTCGGACCGCGGCAGCCGCTCTCGGGTATGGGCCGTGCTGGCCGGCGTGGGTGGCGGCGGGGACCCGGGGCCGCCGAGCCCGGCAGCCGGGGGGAGGCAGCCGGCGAGGCCAGCTTGTGAGGAGCATGTGGTTTGGGTGGACCGGGAGTCCCTAACGTGGGCTTGCTCGTTTCCACCGCAGACCTTGTAGAGCACATAGCACTCTCCCACATCGTGCAGAAAAGCAATCCGGGGCACCGAGTGCTGGCAGAGTCAGGACCCACTGGAGGCTGTGGTCTGACCCGCCGTCCTCGCTCTTTGGGGGACGGGTCTCCTGGTTCACGTCTTGCCGCTGCCTCCTGTTTACGGAGCACCTCTTTGCGCCTCAGTCTGCCTGTCTGTAGAACGGAGCAGGAATACCTGCTTCTGAGCGGGCTCTGTTTTGCGCTCCCGCCAGACATGCTCTTGGAAACACTTTGTAAGACCATTTCCTCCCGGCGCGGCCACTCCCTAGCCCCCTTCCAACTGTGACCTTCAGCCAGCTGCCCAGTTTCTCGATCTCAGTTTTCTCATCTGTAAAATGGGAATGATGAACATACCTACCTCAATAGGGTTTTTGTAGGGATTAAATGAATTAACATTTGCAAAGCTATTAAAACAGTGCTTAGCACATGATAAACACTCAAGTATTAGCCATTACTGTTGTTATCTGCAAGACAGTGACCAATTTCAAGACATCACATTATAGAGGTGCACAACAATGGCCCCCCTTTGGGGTCCAGCGTTTCATGAATTCAGCAGAGATAGGCCCACCATGTGCCCAGCTTGGGTTGGATCCTGGTGATACAGCAGGAACAAGACAGATGTGGTCCCAGCCCTTACAGAGGGTACAGTCAGACCTGGGAGGTGTTAGACTACACAGTCAATAGTGATGTGAGGTGGGGACACAGGCGACTGCAGCACTGAAGACGGAGAGGTCCTACCTTGGCCTTCAGGTCAGGGTCAGCTTCCAAGCGGAGGTACCAGCTAAATGGCGGGGAGCAGGCTGGGTAGGATGTAGCTATGGTGTGATGCTGGGAAGCCTTTCAGGCTGTGGGAATAGCTTATTCAGAAGTGCCATGGAAATAGCTGTGCCTCGCTGTTGTGTGGGGTATATGGGGCCCTTCATCTGACCAGAGCCAGGTGCCTGGGGCTTGTTCTTGGGGAGCTCTGCAACCAGAGGGCTTCTCTCACTAGTACTCAGTGGGGCTGAGGGTGTAGGTAACTGCTCACCATGTCCTTGGGCCTAGGAGCTCTACCTAGCAGGCGGCAGCCTGCCCTGCCCCATCCCTGGCTCCTAAACACCCTCTTTCCCTGTTTCCTATCCCCCAGGAGGAGGTATCTGAGAGCAGCTCAAGCACGGACCCCCTGCCCCATGGCTACCTCCCTGATTCATCTTCTGTGTCCCATGGGCCAGTGGCAGGGGTGACAGGTGGCCCCCAAACTCTGGTGCACTCCAGTGCACTCCCAGACCCCAACATGCTGGTGTCCGACTGCACGGCTTCTTCCTCAGACCTGGGCTCAGCCTTTGACAAGATCATCGAGTCCACCATCGGGCCAGACCTCATCCAGAGTAAGTCGGGGAGAGGGTGGCAGAGTCAGCCCGCTGGGGCTTCCCCGCAGAGTCCAGAAGAAGCGTCTCTGCTTATCCCAGCTGCGCAGACGCGGGAAAATAACTCTCCCACTCCGAATGTGCCACATGGCAACAGTAGCTCCTGCCTCATGGCGGTGAAATGGTGCGAGGATTTAATGAGGCAGCACGGTCAAGTTGCTCGCATAGTGTCTGGCGTGTAATAAGTGCTCCTTAAATACAGAAACAGTAACACCTAACTTTATACTGAGGTCTGCTCTAAACACTTCACATTCAGTAGCTCATTCATCTTCCCAGGAACCCCGAAACGCAGGTGCTATTATGATCCTTGCAGTATAGATGAGAAAGCTGAGGAACAGAGGATGTAAAATAATTTACCCACTGTCGCTAGCAACTGTTGGGCCATGAGCTCAGACGGTCTGATTCCAGAGCTCATGATTTCCCAAACGGTACCTGCTGTTAACGATGCGTGTAAAGGAAAAGCCCTGGATGGTCTGGAAAGCCAGCCCCGAGGAACTGGGGCTGGAAGTGGGCCTTAACCTTGGGGCGGGTCAGAGAGGAAGGAGGGGGACTCCAGGTTTAGTGGTCAAAGGTGAGGCAGCTGGGATAGCCATGGCATCTGTATGACTGTAGGTCATCATGGCATACAAACCAGGCTTTCCAATAGCCCTGCCCTGGGTGGATGGGGAGGGGGTAGGCATCTGAGGCTCAGAGGGATGATGCAGCTGGTGTGAGGTCACACAGGTGAGCCAGAATGAATGTGGGCAATGACAATTGTCATTGTCAGCTGGGAATTCCCTCCCCACATCTCTATCTAGGCTGCATAACTGTAACCAGTGCTGAGGATGGTGGGGCCGAGACCACACAGTACCTGATCCTGCAGGGACCAGATGATGGTAAGACGCCAGGCTCCAGACCCAGGAAGCCCTGCAGTGGGCTGGACTAGGAGAGGAAGGCTTAGCCACAAACTCACTGTGTGATCTGGCCAGTTCAGCCACTGCTCTTCGCCTCAGTTTCCCCAGTTACTCTTGTAGGGAGCTGGGTTCTAGGATCCCTGGGCCTGCCTGAGAGGGACAGCTGTAGCTCATGGCCAGCCTGCCCCTCCATTTCCTTTCCCTCTGATTCCCTCACCAACCCCCAGGTGCCTCCATAGCATCGCCAATGTCCACTTCCACCCTAGTCCACAGCCTGGCAGCCATTGAGGCCCTGGCCGACGGCCCTACATCCACATCCACATGCCTGGAGCCATCTGAGGAGGCACGGGGTTCACCCAGCTCCCCAGCACAGCCTCCCCCAGCCTCTGGCACTGAGGAGCCAGATCTACAGAGCCTGGAGGCCATGATGGAGGTAGTGGTAGTACAGCAGTTCAAGTGCAAGATGTGCCAGTACCGGAGTAGCACTAAGGCCACACTATTACGCCATATGCGGGAGCGGCACTTCCGTCCAGGTACGTTGATAGCAGCCTACCTGGCTGGGACTGCATAGGTGGGGATGGGGTGCTGAGAGGCAGACATGGAAGCTTGTCTTACCTCCCCCCATCCCCCAAGCAGCAGCAGCAGCAGCAGCTGGTAAGAAGGGACGTCCACGGAAGTGGGGTACCTCGACCAAGACCCAAGAGGAAGAGGCACCAGAGGAGGAAGACGATGATGACATTGTAGATGCTGGTGCCATTGATGACCTAGAGGGTAGGCCACATGGCTCCCAGGTCTGCTACCTCCACCCCCATCAACAAATACTGGGCTCCTCTGGCCCTCATGGAGAGCCAGGAAAACAGAATTGGCACAGACACAGCCACAGGTGCTTCCGTATAAGACAGGAGTTGGGTGCTGGGATCAGAACCTGTGTGTGTAGTTGTGTAGGCTGTGCACTGAAAAAGCACCAACCACAACTAAGAGGGCCACATTTATCCAACAGAAGTAGAATGCAAACCACATATGTACTTTTCTTTTTTGTGGACATATTTTTTGGTTAATCTCCCCTGAGGATAGTTCTTCCATTGATTTTTAGAGAGAATTGGGGGAGAGGGGGAGAAGAAACATCGGTGTGAGAGAGATGGGCTGGGGAATGAACATGAACAGGCAACCAGCAATCAAAACAGGCTGACACTAACTGCTGAGCTACACTGGCCAGGGCTGTCTGGAGGAGGCATCACTGGTGGGCATGAAGGAGGAGTGGGCAGGGATGGGGAAGTGGGCTTCTTTCCGGGGCAGCAGGGCAAGGGATCAGAGCTGAAAGGGTGGGTCCAGCATGATGCCCACCTTCTCTCACTGTCCCCACAGAGGATAGTGACTAC